CTTTTAAGTTTTGCTTACAAAGGGCCGTCATATATAGATAATTGCGACGGTCAGTTTAACATCACAGAGTCACTTTGTCATCATACAGTCAAGGGGCCTTTATCCGCCCTTTATTATTATACTTTTTACACAGTAGTCTGTAAACAGTATAGGTTTACTTTGTTCGATGTCACGTTTTTGTCTGCACGATAAGTTAAAAACGAAAAATGATATCAACATAATTTTTTTATTAAAAATCAAGCTCTGTAAGGAGATGATGCCTATTGATTCTGAAAAAAAAATTGAATAAAATTGGGGGGTTGAGGGGAGTTGAATTATTTAAAAAAATTCCTAACTTTAAACTTTCGGCAAAAATCAAGCTCTATAAGGGGACAGTCTCTTTAAAATGGATGTCAAGGAGGATGGAAATGAAAGAAAATAGAAATCAAAAACCAAAAGCGATATCAACATGAAATGTTTAGTAAAAATCAAGCTTTATAAGGGAATGAATAAATAAATAAATAAAAATGGGGAGATAAAGGGGGTTCAAATATTTAAAAAAAAAACTCGGAAAAATCAAGCTTTATAATTGGATGAAACCTTGTGCTTCTGAAAAAAAAATTGATTGAAAATCCGGGTTAAGGGAGTCTGTGAACAATATAATATAGAATGCGAAGCATTATATTCTAGTTTTAACTGCAGGCCCAATATTGACTATTTTTAATCAGCCGTTTAGAGGAAAATAAAGGTATGGAAAATGATTGATTGAATTGCTGATGATTATAAATAAATAAATAATGGAAACATTGGCAATTAAAACAGTTTTCCTTAAATTGGACCTTCATTTTATCACAAATCTCAAATCCAACAACTATTCGCTCAGTACGAAGTCATGGTAGGGGAAGCCAAATCGATACCAGCGCTAGCTGCGGATAATTTGTGCATTTTAGGGCGATATTTTGTAATTTTGGCATATCAAATACACGTATACATTTTACTTTTTTTCAAAAAAGTAGGTAAAAACAATACAATAAGCAACCGGATTTACTATGTTGAATATTGTAAAAATACTAGCAAAAAAAACAGTGAAAATTACAAAAATTTTTAGTAGCAAAGTGGAAATTGAATCAAATAAATAAATAAATGGATAAGTGTACAATAAAATGAAAAATTACCATTATTTTTGTAATAATAACAGTAATACTGAAAATAGTAGATATCAGAAACTTGAAAGGTTTTAAATAAACAATAAATTATCATTTTACGATGTTCTTCAAGATCCCTTATTTATTCCTAAATGTTCATTCAACAAGGATTAAATTTCAAGATTTCTACCTTTCATGATTGTATGTGGCTGGATGCAATTTTGTGACTTACTGATAGAAAACCAGTTTTAATCATTCATTCTATGTTTTCTTTCGAACAAAAATGAAAATATAAAAAACAATCCTTTTGTTTATACATTTTAACTTCACACTATTATTTAAAGGTATTTTTTTATTTTGACATTCTTCAAAGACAACTTATTAAACTTAGGCAACTTCTCATACATTTTCCCGTAAATACTGTTGCCTGCCTATATTTTATTATTGAATTTTATTGATTATACTTAAATTTCTTTAATTTAAACGATAAAAATATATAATAATAATAAATTAATGTTTTACTTGTTTTTCAAATCCATATACTTTTATTAAAACTAACATATATACTTTTTAATTACGAATTCTATTAAAAATTGTATTTGTCAGTATACACTTAAATAGTCCATTAGTACGTAAAATGAATTGGCGCTGCTGTCACGCACGGAGCGAATAGATGGGGTTTTGACATTATTATCAACTTTCAGGTTAATGATAACATATGAAATAGCAAGTGATTTTCCCGCAACGCAGGGCAAATATCAATTAATGATCGATGGCCCACAAAACATGAAAATATAATGAATGGCATTTCCAACATTTAGCCGACATGGTCATCTCACCATCAATCGTTACAAAGAGCCATTAGTTTCCCTGCAGTTGATTGTTTGTTGGGGAAAGAATTGAGCCCAAATAAAATTAAAAAAAAAATGTTTTATTTGTTTTTCAAAAATGATAAAAGAGTAGTACCTTTTTAAGGTATTTAAATTTGATTTATGTAGAATTGATCCATGATAAACCAGCAATATTCATGGGTATCTGGGTGGGCACCTCCCTGGGTTTTCATTATGTTAATTTATTATTATTTTTTGAGTAACTTTAAAAGTGATAAAGTCGAATGATTGGAAAAAAGTGCTATCGAACCCCTTGAATTTTTTTCTACGGACGCCCATGGTAACATTTTCAAATTTTGTACGTATTTCAAATGTGTCTTATATCTTTCTGACTTGTTTCCCATTTTTCTATTAGGACTTATAAAATCAATAAAATTTAATTAAGACACTGTACTTCCGGCACGCCACTGTAAGCGATCGTAACAGCGTAGGTGGAGTTCAATAAATTCCACATTATATTAGGAAACAATCATTTTGTACTGTTACAGATTACAGTCAACAAAGCCTTACTTTTTGTTAGTCAGACTTTACCGTTTTCAATTAGTAATTATTGCATTTATTTCAATAAAAAAGTAGAAATGTCAACTGCATGCACTCGTATAGTCTCTTGGTACAGCTGACTGATTTGTTGAGATAGTTGTTCTCAAGGAGAAATTAGTTTTCAGTCTTGTTTCAAATGTCTCGCTAATCACGCAACGACGAAAGGTCAGAACAAACGAATTACTTTACTTATTGATCTTTCAATATTAAAACTGTAGAAGAAAGTTTCTAGTCTATCGATCCTTTTATTTAAATTGTATTATAGTAACTATAAAACATTTCTGTTTCCCTTATATTTTTTGTGTGTTCATTTTACATGACCAATGGCAATAATTCTAATTTCTCGATGGCAATAGTCAACAATGTTGGTTGTATACGGATGGTAACTACATTCAGGTGAAATCTACTCATTTGTGAAACTGCTAAAGCATTGTACAAGACGTCCATCGAACAATGAATGCAAAAAGATTATCAGGAATGATGAAACAACCATGCAGTACTGTATGTGAAGAAAACTGTGAAGAAGACTCTGAAGAAGACTGTGAAGAAGACTGTGAAGAAGACTGTGAAGAAGACTGTGAAGAAGACTGTGAAGAAGACTGTGAAGAAGACTGTGAAGAAGACTGTGAAGAAGACTGTGAAGAAGACTGTGAAGAAGACTGTAAAGAAGACTGTGAAGAAGACTGTGAAGAAGACTGCGAAGAAGACTGTGAAGAAGACTGTGAAGACGACTGTGAAGAAGAGTGTGATGAAGAGTGTGAAAAAAACTATAAAGATATCTGTGAAGAAGAAGACGAAATGGTTTCTAATACAAGAAAAGCCAAAAGCATATTACTAGGTGCATGAGGCACTGTCAAAGCTACCAAGTCTAATAAAAAAACACCAGGCTAGACGGCATAATCTAAATGACGAGCTTCTACAATAAATCTGAAAAGGTCGTGGTGGGAAAATACAAAAATCTCCAACTTCCTTTAAATATATCTATCTAAAATCGAAAATGAATCTTACACAACATACTCTTGTGTTTTTTATTAGTTTACATTGTACCTAGCTATATTTCAGCCTGGTTAACTCAAAAGGCTTGAGACTAAGAGTTCTCCCAATGGTATCTCCTTTCTGTTCTGATGCTATAAACTGCACACGCGCACTGGGCTCTGCTTTTACATAATTTCTCATCACTAATTCAAATGGTTTGGTCCTTTTGAGCCTTCTCATTAGGTATCGGTTGTTCAGGAACTGTAGAACTTCAATACTGACGTGGCTTTGCAGTCTTTATTCATGTATTTTTTTTGCGATGGTTTTCCCCTCTTCTTCGACTGTAGGAATTCTCAGATCTCTGCGAAGGTCTGAGCTTACGTACAAAGGGGCATTTACTATTGCCCTTAATATTTTGTTCTGGGAACGTTGTATTATATTTATGTTATTTTTACTGACATACCTCCAGAACCTTATGCCGTAAGTCCATATTGGCTTCAGTACCTACTTGTTTTGTACATATATTAAAAGATTATTTTCGATTGTAAGTTTTGATATTTCGAAAAGCACTGGTAACAGTGATATAGGACTACTTTATTTGGTGGTTTTCCAGGTTTGGGTATCATTATAATTTCGGCTACTTTCCAGATGATATATACATGCTCTAGTCGGAATGCAACGTTTATTATATTAGTGAATTTAACCACAGCTTTTCTTGGTAATTGTGTTGGTATTTCAGCAGTTATCAGATAATACCTGGGTGCTGTCTTAGAAATTATATTTTCTTTGATTTCCTTAGATACCTCTGAATGCGTGACCCTAAGAATTTCAACTATGTTTTTCTTCACTTCTTTTATTAAATCGAGTACTCGTTCTTCATTCGGTTGAAAACAGTTTTTGAGATGATCTGCAAATATGTCAGTTTTATGTTTATTTGATCTTGGACAATTTCCGTTGTCTTATTTTATTGTATGTCGACGATCAGAGTCATCAACTACTAGGATTATTAGTCTCAAACACAAACAATTTCTCCCATTACCTCCCCCTTGGATCCAGCGGTAGCTTAAATCTTATCTAATAATCTCTTAGATGTTTCTAATTATAATACCAGAGATGTAATACTTATTTTAATTTCTTTTTTTACTCTACATTTTTACATTATAAAAATGGAGTTACATGCGAAGTTTTTCTCAGTTCACACACTAGTCTACTAGATTCATAAGTATAATATTAATTGACATCCTTATGTTATGTTATAATATGTATAAGATGGAGACTGCTTTTTTAAACCCCAAAATATATACCAAAAAATGAAAGAAATAAAAAAAATTGTTTAATTTAAGTAACGATAAAGAAAAAAATAAAAACATAAATCAGGTAGTTAGTTCTACCTGTTTTAAATTTTATTCATGAAAATCTATAAACATTTCACGTTTATTTTTCAACTAGTTTTGTGTATATTTATTTGCAGGATAGAGCTAGAGATCCATCTCAAAGATTATCATCCACCACGACATTAACTGTAAACATCAAGGATGATGACGATCTGCCACCTTCCTTCATCTACAAGAACTGCATGCTTCTGGATGGTACCTGTATTAATCCAGAGTACACCGCATCGGTAAGTTCTAATACCTACCGTTTTTTTAATTTGTTTCTTTTGTTACTATTTCCGTTTTTGGTAAAAGTTAGCAATATAATCTTTTAATAGATGCATAGATCTTCTACATTAGCCTAAACAGAAAAAAACACCAAAAAAGAACAAAAAACAACAACAAAAACAAAAAAGAACAAAAAACAACAAAAAAAAACAAAAACACAAAAAAACAAAAAAACAAAAAAACAAAAAAACCAAAAAAAAAAAAAAAAAAAAAAAAAAAAAAACGACAAAAACAACAAAAACAACAAAAACAACAAAAACAACAAAAACAACAAAAACAACAAAAACAACAAAAACAACAAAAACAACAAAAACAACAAAAACAACAAAAACAACAAAAACAACAAAAACAACAAAAACAACAAAAACAACAAAAACAACAAAAACAACAAAAACAACAAAAACAACAAAAACAACAAAAACAACAAAAACAACAAAAACAACAAAAACAACAAAAACAACAAAAACAACAAAAACAACAAAAACAACAAAAACAACAAAAACAACAAAAAAACAAAAACAACAAAAACAACAAAAACAACAAAAACAACAAAAACAACAAAAACAACAAAAACAACAAAAACAACAAAAACAACAAAAACAACAAAAACAACAAAAACAACAAAAACAACAAAAACAACAAAAACAACAAAAACAACAAAAACAACAAAAACAACAAAAACAACAAAAACAACAAAAACAACAAAAACAACAAAAACAACAAAAACAACAAAAACAACAAAAACAACAAAAACAACAAAAACAACAAAAACAACAAAAACAACAAAAACAACAAAAACAACAAAAACAACAAAAACAACAAAAACAACAAAAACAACAAAAACAACAAAAACAACAAAAACAACAAAAACAACAAAAACAACAAAAACAACAAAAACAACAAAAACAACAAAAACAACAAAAACTACAAAAACTACAAAAACAACAAAAACAACAAAAACAACAAAAACAACAAAAACAACAAAAACAACAAAAACAACAAAAACAACAAAAACAACAAAAACAACAAAAACAACAAAAACAACAAAAACAACAAAAACAACAAAAACAACAAAAACAACAAAAACAACAAAAACAACAAAAACAACAAAAACAACAAAAACAACAAAAACAACAAAAACAACAAAAACAACAAAAACAACAAAAACAACAAAAACAACAAAAACAACAAAAACAACAAAAACAACAAAAACAACAAAAACAACAAAAACAACAAAAACAACAAAAACAACAAAAACAACAAAAACAACAAAAACAACAAAAACAACAAAAACAACAAAAACAACAAAAACAACAAAAACAACAAAAACAACAAAAACAACAAAAACAACAAAAACAACAAAAACAACAAAAACAACAAAAACAACAAAAACAACAAAAACAACAAAAACAACAAAAACAACAAAAACAACAAAAACAACAAAAAACAACAAAAAAACAACAAAAAAACAACAAAAAACAAAAAAAAAAACAACAAAAAACAAAAAAAAAACAACAAAAACAACAAAAACAACAAAAACAACAAAAACAACAAAAACAACAAAAACAACAAAAACAACAAAAACAACAAAAACAACAAAAACAACAAAAAAACAACAAAAAAACAACAAAAAAACAACAAAAAAACAACAAAAAACAACAAAAAACAAAAACAACAACAAAAACAACAACAAAAACAACAAAAAACAACAAAGAACAACAAAAAACAACAAAAAACAACAAAAAACAACAAAAAACAACAAAAAAAACAACAAAAAACAACAAAAAACAACAAAAAACAACAAAAAAACAACAAAAAACAACAAAAAACAACAAAAAACAACAAAAAACAACAAAAAACAACAAAAAACAACAAAAACAACAAAAAACAACAAAAAAACAACAAAAAAACAACAAAAAAAAAACAACAAAAAACAACAACAAAAACAACAAAAACAACAAAAAACAACAAAGAACAACAAAAAACAACAAAAAAACAACAAAAAACAACAAAAAACAACAAAAAACAACAAAAAACAACAAAAAACAACAAAAACAACAAAAAACAACAAAAAAAACATGTATGATATTCACTACTGATGAATTTTGATATAGGAACCTGAACCCTTAAAGGGCCTAGTTACAACAAAAACAACAAAAACAACAAAAACAACAAAAACAACAAAAACAACAAAAACAACAAAAACAACAAAAACAACAAAAACAACAAAAACAACAAAAACAACAAAAACAACAAAAACAACAAAAACAACAAAAACAACAAAAACAACAAAAACAACAAAAACAACAAAAACAACAAAAACAACAAAAACAACAAAAACAACAAAAACAACAAAAACAACAAAAACAACAAAAACAACAAAAACAACAAAAACAACAAAAAACAACAAAAAAACAACAAAAAAACAACAAAAAACAAAAAAAAAACAACAAAAAACAAAAAAAAAAACAACAAAAACAACAAAAACAACAAAAACAACAAAAACAACAAAAACAACAAAAACAACAAAAACAACAAAAACAACAAAAACAACAAAAAAACAACAAAAAAACAACAAAAAAACAACAAAAAACAACAAAAAACAACAAAAAACAACAAAAAACAACAAAAAACAACAAAAAACAACAACAAAAACAACAACAAAAACAACAAAAAACAACAAAGAACAACAAAGAACAACAAAAAACAACAAAAAACAACAAAAAACAACAAAAAACAACAAAAAACAACAAAAAAAACAAAAAACAACAAAAAAACAACAAAAAAACAACAAAAAACAACAAAAAACAACAAAAAACAACAAAAAACAACAAAAAAACAACAAAAAAACAACAAAAAACAACAAAAAACAACAAAAAACAACAAAAAACAACAAAAAACAACAAAAAACAACAAAAAACAACAAAAAACAACAAAAAACAACAAAAAACAACAAAAAACAACAAAAAACAACAAAAAAACAACAAAAAAAACAACAAAAAAAAACAACAAAAAAACAACAAAAAACAACAAAAAACAACAAAAAACAACAAAAAACAACAAAAAACAACAAAAAACAACAAAAAACAACAAAAAACAACAAAAAACAACAAAAAACAACAAAAAACAACAAAAAACAACAAAAACAACAAAAAACAACAAAAAAACAACAAAAAAACAACAAAAAAAAAACAACAAAAAACAACAACAAAAACAACAAAAACAACAAAAAACAACAAAGAACAACAAAAAACAACAAAAAAACAACAAAAAACAACAAAAAACAACAAAAAACAACAAAAAACAACAAAAAACAACAAAAAACAACAAAAACAACAAAAAACAACAAAAAAAAACATGTATGATATTCACTACTGATGAATTTTGATATAGGAACCTGAACCCTTAAAGGGCCTAGTTACCTAGATACAGGGTGTTTTTGAAATCAATATTCAAAATTTTCCATAAATCAAAAACGCCTTTAAATATTTGTTCAAGATACTCTTTAAGAAAATAATATTTTGACATAGACTAACTTTTTAAAAAATTAACCAGTAGTGATCTATCAAGATTAGTGGCAACTTTTCTTCCCTATTTCTTATGCCACTGAAACAAACTTTTTATAATTCTTTATAAAGCGCCGGTACGTTAATTGAAGATTTTTAATATTTAAATTTTTGATGTATCGTTTTTGCATTAATCGCCCTGTATATTTTTAGGGTTGAACTTTTGCGTATTGCGCGAATTTAATGTAAATTATTATTCAATACCTAATCTGACTCTTAGAAACTGGGCACGTCCAAATTAATACGTACACCTTCCAAATGCATAATTTATTTAGGTAACTGTATTATTCAAATTATGTACAAGTGCCATTTGCCGCCAACGCACAGAGATGAACAAAAGAACATAGCAAGAATTGCGAGAATACTGTGCAGCACCCACTGTTGCAACACCTGTCCACCTCCCTATATCTACCTGCACGAAAATAATGCTCATCATAACAAAAAAAGCGGTGCAGAGACCGTGAGAATTCTCATTAGAACTATTCCAGTACATAAATCTGTCAATAGAATATATGACAGGAATACCTATACAGGGAGTGAACTAGGTATTTTTTATTATATCAGAATGCACCTAATCTTACAAAATTATTTAGCATTTTTGTAATAATCTAAATCAGCACCTCAGAGGTAAGGTGTGTTAAGTCACCAAATCTACATTTGTCAGGAGACACTTATTGTTTTAACAATTGTAAAGAAACCGTGAATTTACTTAATATTGAGATCTTTGCAAAAATCAATTGTTTGGTCAATTTATTTCGTGTTTTGTTAGGTGTTTTTACTTTGTCGTTAAATTTTGACTTTGATGTGACTTAAAACCCCAAATTTGCAATACTTGGTTTGTGACTTACCGAGTGTTTCGTCATCTTTTGGCGAAATGATGCAACTAGGGAGTTAAATCTTGATAGAATTTAGTACGGTAAATCCACAAGTGGAGAAAACTCATTTCTCTAAATTGCTGAATTACTACCAATTTAAAATATTGATTGTGGCATAGCATTAACTCTCAATATCTCTCTGTCTTAAGATTTTCGAAATGCATTTTTGTTTTTTCGTGAATATTTAAATGTCCAATGTTGCCAATCATTGTAGCTATTTTAATCAGTAAATCGGGCATTTGCAGTGTTAGTGTTAAATATTCTGCAACCAAATCGAAACCCGCAATTTGAATTATTGTAATAGGTTAGACTATTTTTTATCAGAAGTTCAATATTCATTGGATACCATATTTTCGACCACAAACCTGTATCTTTAGACAGTTGTACAGTCTTACTATCAAAAACAACTTCGATAAGAGTTATAGTTTCCTCAACTTTACATGTTGATATCGATGGTTCCTTATTATCATCTATACAATTTTTTACCAGTCTTTGAAGTAGAATCAATAGGTTCTTTAA